GCCTCTATTCCACCGTCCCGTATTTTCCCCCTGCCCTCCTGTCCGCCATCTCCGACTGCCACCACCAACTCCAACACATCCGCCACCAGATTTATTCACTCTTCTACGGACCCTGTATATATCACTCGTAGTGGTCGTCATGCACACTTTCCTGATCGGTTGGTCACGCATTTCTTTTAGACCTGTACACATCCTTCGGCGTCGTTTTCGCCGGCCTCCGGTCTCGGAGGGGGGTACTGTGCCGAGGCGCCAGACTATCTTGCCTTTCCCTACCTGTTCCTCATTCTTGAACTTACTGGTTGTTTAACTGAATGGAATGAACACAACTCGACGCGACGCGCTTGGCATGAGTGGGACTGTCAGGTCGTTTGACTTTTGATTATTAATTCTTCCATAACTCTGGTCTTATCCTGATTTTTATAGTCTGGGATTGACGGTTCTGTCTTTGACGCTCGCTACAAGCGGTAAATGCCGTGCAATTATGCATTCAACATAAACTAAATCACGCACAAGCCACCGTCCTGCCCTCACCTTACTGTGAAGCACACTATGGGTATCGTCGGCAGCGACGGTCGAACTACTGTGTGTTTGTCTGTGTGGATTGCAACACGTGAGATATCAGCGATTGTGACTGCCTGGCCGTGTGTGCGGCTGGGCTGATACCAGTAGATCCAACCCGGACAGGTCAATTTTTGCACGAAAGGGGAATTAGTGAGGGAGGCCGATAGCAATGCTCTCCTGTATATTTCATATCAACACACTCGCCCAGTACTGTAAATATAGTGTATTTGTCAATTTATGGGAAATTGCGGTTCTACTCAGGCCTGTAGGCTGCAATGTCATCTTGGTGTGACCGGGGAGCGTTTTTAACAGAGGTGGATGACCTCGACGCGGTGAAGATTCGAAGAAACTTCTTGATGGAACAATCTCGTGCCTTAAAGATGAGATTTTCGACAATCCTCCAAGCACTGATTATGTGGGCCTCGCAGACTATTGAGGACGGGCATCTTTTCCTGCATTTGAACCTTGCACTGCTTCTTCTTAAAACTCAACCTTTAACCTAACTCACCAACTGGCCCTTTAGTAAGTTGAATAATGCGTTTTTGCACTTTGATGCTAGTCCACCACGGTTCTCCCTACTTTCCGGGAAATCCGCTGTTTTTTCCACAGTTACTCGCTATGGCGGTTCTGAAATGTTATAAGTCAGCATCATAAATGTGGTATGAGACCGACACTTATATGTGTTTTAGTGAGCCGCATTGGTTTCCAGAACTTCCTTCATTAACTACATAAATCACTACTCTAGGACTCTAACGCTATTTGTTGAAAAGGTCGACAGGCGATAGCACAAAAGCAGGAATCCTGTCTGATTGTAGTTTATAAACCTTCCCGGATACGCTACGATAAAGTCTAACAGGCTTGCTCTTTCCCTCGTTGTCGCCCCTTCGCAATTCACCACTTACCAAAATCCAAAAAAACACGTACACTCATGGAAGCGTCACATGCTCTGGATGCTGCTGATCTCATTCTATAAACAGACATTTAGACTAGTTTCAGTTGGTTGCACCACATGTTACATCCTGCAGCAAAACCTAGCACTCCTCTCCGACAGGGCCATACAGACCTCTCATTATTTCTCTCGGTTTGAATCTCTGGCAAGATGTTCTCGCCAGCTAAAGCCGTGGACAGACCCTAGCCGTCAAGCCAGGTCCTGAGAAGCAAGAGGAGACCTTAGACGCCAGTGGAGAGAGCAGTGTATTTTGTGCAGAATGAATGGAGAATAGGTTGGAGCAAGT